CTAATAAAGCACTACACTTTGCTGACAGCGCTCACGGTATTTTTGTCCTCAGTGGTGGCAGATGCCACAGAAAGACAGCATGCTGAAAAAGATCTGGTATTAAACACGTTATTTTCTAGTTTTAGTTTCCGTACAGTTCCTTGATTTTAGGTGCTACGCAGCATAGCGGTGGAGGAAGTTGTGATAACTTCACATAACCATGGAAAATGAGGCTGAGAGGAGATGCTGAAAAGCCATCTTGTGCACCCCTCCGCCCTAGGGTAGGATCAGCGTCCCCTAAGCCACAGCTGTTTTAGCCAGCCGCCTCCTGTGAACCTCCAGTAATGGAGATTTCACAGCCTCCCCAAGCAATTCACTCCTGCCCTTAACTGTCCTTCTGGTTAGATGATTTTGGCTAATGCTTAAAGTAAATCTCCCTTGCTGCAATTTAAGGCCATTACCCCTCGTGCTGTCCCAGGTGGACATGGAGAATGATTTATTACGTAAATTTTCGCAATGATTTTTTTAATATATTTGAAGACTGCTTTTATGCCCCCCTTTGGCCTTCCCTTCTCTAAAGTCACATGTAAAAGATAAAAGAAAACTAATGAACAGAGGTTTAATTAGTTCCATGTAGCAATGTTAAAGGTATATTCTAAAAATAAAATACTTGGAAAGAACATCAGTAAACCATATTACTCAGGAGGATAGAAGGAGTAACAGCATGCCAGCGTGGTTGCATAACAGAGAAATAGGAACTTTGCAAAAGGTCAAATGAACATTACCACTGAGCAAAAAGGCAGTGCTTTCTCTGTACCTCCTCTTAAAAAAAAAAAAGAAAGAAAAATGTTCTTCAAGATTGATGGAAAGAATAAAGATACATATAATTTAAGTTATTAGATCCATGTAACTCTCACTGAACTAAACTGGAACTTTGCCTGCTTAAAGACTACAGGAAGGATGCTTTTGTATTTAAGGACTAGATCGAAACTCAAGAGACAAGTTTAATCCTTGGCTTTCCTTGAGATTTCCTTTGTGATTTTGGGAAATTACCTATGGATAAAACGAGCAGTTTCATTCTCCACTTATTTTCTCTTGAACTCTTCTCATTTTGTTTTTGCAGATGATGAACCCTTTAGGCTGGTGGGCTGTCTGTACCAAAGCATGTGGGACTCCAGCATAGGAGGAGCTGAAGTCAGCAGAAACTTCTGACTGTGACTGCACCACAAAATGCAACACACCAGGCTACTAAACAAGGAATCGTCATGTATTGGATATATCCCATCACAAGAGATGTTAAACGTAACTTCAAATGGATTGACTGTGTCTGTTGGTGATGTTGGATCATGTTTATCTTCACAGGATGCACAGGTTGGCTTATAATTCAACACTAAAAGCAACAAATCTCCAACCCAAAAGTCCAGAGTATTAGAGTGAGAATCTAGTTATTTTTGTTTCCTGATGGTTATTTTATTAAGTGATATATGGAGAAGCAATATGCTAGTGCTGATCTATGAAAAACATTAAACAAATGCTGAGATTATGAGCAATCATAGGTTCTTTAATGCTTTTTTCCAGATGTCTCTGTGAAGCAGGGAAGTGCCTGAAATAAGGGAACATAATTTTTTTTACAGACAATAGGCTGATGATAACAAAGACTTGGAGAATGTCTACATACTGTGCCTAAGCTAGCTCAGATATCCCTGCAAAGCTATGGAGGCATAGCTGAAGGAGTTGCTTAAAGTCAAAAAAGACATCCACATGCCACAACATGGAGCTGAACTGATGACTTTAGGCAAGAATCCAGAAGACTATTTTTGTGACAGCAAAGCTGCTGCTGTCCAAACTGATAACAGCATGTCCCCTGCTAGAAAATAACCATATATGGATTTACCATTAGTGGCTGAATGTCTTGACAGGCTATGATTTAAAAATAACATTTATGCTATTAGCACTGCTTCCCTTTATTCTGAGGAGAAACTGGATCATCATATTCAAAGTTACAAAGCTTCCTCACATTTTTTGTTGCATTATCCTCATTTTCTGCATTTGATATTGGCGATAAATTATTCCTGATTTTCCTACATGCAAGTAGGACAAGATTCAGACTCATCAATCTTTATATATGGATCTCCACCTCCTATGGTCAGCTAATCAGTTGTACTAAGAATTTGGTTGCACCTATTTCCTTCTGTGCTCTCGTTTACAGCTTTTTGGAGATTTTGACTGTTACTGCTGCTCATTCATACTCTCCCCCTCAAAAACCACTGGTCAAAACCCATCTGTTTTATCTGAGAGAAATAAAACACACATCTAACACATAATGTAGTAGAAACCCTGGCAACCGAAGCGGCAGGCTTTATTCTGTAGCAGGCTGCTTTTTGGCTTCCTATGCACGTATCCCACCTGAGCCCCTGGGCTGTGCGTTGTCCTGTTTGGTTGTGCTGCAGTTCTATTTAATTTGGTTGCCTTCCAGAGAAAGAATCTGATCCTCAAAAATGCTCTTGGATCCTTCAGAGAGGAAACAAGAGCATTCAGATCTGCTTGGAAGTCAAAGTGAGGACACACGGCCATTCTCCAGATCAAGTCCGTGTTAATGATGCTGCATCTGCTACACATGCACACGCAGCAGGGTTATTTAAAAAACTGCAGACGGTGACTCTGATTCACCTAGCGGCTCACCTTGCTCTTCCTACTGACTGAAAGGAGCATCTTAGGCTTAGAGCCCTCAGCATCCCCTCTGTCTTGCAGGGCATCTCCTATGTTGCCAGGTGAATTCCACCAAATAACTAAGCCGCTGTAAAATAAAAGCTACACCCTACCCACAGGAGAGGGGGAACTTTAAGACTTCTGACTTGTAGGAAGAAATCTGGTCTCCAAATAAAATAAAGCAAGGTTTTCCCCAAAGTGCTTAACTAAAGGGTATCCAGGCCACACTTTTATTTTTCATCCTTTTTTGACCTTTAATTTCATGTAAGTACTCAAGCAATTTTAGCTGTGTTTTCTTCTCAACTTCTCCCACTTCAGGCCACACACACAAAGATCATTCTGTGACTTGACACCCCTCCTTTCTTAAAATCTTATGGTGAGGAGAAAAAAAAAGGGATGTTATTTTAAACAACCTCAAACTAGAGTTTTTTTGTCAATTAGGGTACTTATTTATTCGTTTCAATTCATGCCTTTTTTACATTGAAAATTATAGCTTTTAAAGATTCCTGTAAGCAGCTAGGTATGAAAATGGCTCTATTTCAAAAATGTGCTTCTAGATCATTAAAAATAATTCACTTTTGTTTACATTTTCTTTGTGTGGAATTCAAGGTAATAATATGTATATTTACTGCTCATCCCTACCTTTATTGATCTATGTTCTTTCATTTTTAACCTATCTAAACATGTATTTATTGCTGATAAAATGGTTGTCAAGACACATTACTCGCCTCTCCACACACCAGATATATCAACACTGGCATCACAAGAAGGTCCCTCATCCAACTTCACCAATGCCCACTAACCTTCAGCAGTAAGCATCACTTCTGGATGCAAGAAGCTACCAGCAGTCCCTCTAGCAGACTGGCCTCTGAGTGACAGGCTAACTTGGCCGATTTATCTACTTGTCCCAGTTCTAGACCACGTTTGTGATGGTTCATTAGCTTCAAAGCATCCAGGTTTGATGCCACTAAACTCATCTGATGTGAAGTTTTATTTGATGTATTGCTGTACTTATCTCCACATTCTCTGAATTACTGATTTCAGCGGGCTTTTTCTTTTATAATTATATTCTTGTTTATTAAAATAAAATTTCTGTTTTGGGGACTCATTCTGCCACAATACTTTATGTTTTCATGCAACACATGCCTCTCCACCCACTACTGATTTAATTTCTTTGTAGCACCATAAGAGCAGTAGGGTTAGGTTCACTAATCATTGAAGGGTCAGGTCGCTGACATGCCAGCTGCTTTTTCATACTTGGTGACCTCTGGTTGCTGAGCCAGATGTATATATAAGGCACACAACTCTTGGGCTCTACCTGCTAGCTACTTGAAAATTGAACTACTGCAATGATACTCCCAAAGCAAACTTTACTTTGGTTTGGCATGAGGTACAAGGCAATTCAGAAATTGGCTCTCTCTGAAAGTTCTCCTTTCCTTGTCATTTCCTTCCAAGAATGTGAAAAAAAAAAAAAATGTTCTCCACTTTTAAATTGCTGTTCACTCACCAAAGCGAATAGCCCTCATACTGAATATATTTCCAGTGAACACAGCTCACAAAACGTTAGTAAATTAAAAATAATCAAGATGGCAGCAGTGTCTCTGAAGGAATATATCATGACAGACATAATACCCCAGAATATGAACTTTCTTCTGTCACTATATCTTAAATCCTTCTGAAGAGTACATGTAAGGCTCCTACATTAAATTGCTGTTCACTGAGGTGGAAACTGAAATGAAGTTAAACAGTTTTTTTGACTAAACCTTCATCACTTAAATACTATTTCACTTATTTCAGGATTCACATTAGTACCATATTTTATCATAAAGGTGGAATTTCCATACACTTGGAAACAGATTAGAATTCTGTTTTTTCCACAAAAGCCTTCCTCTGCAGGTAATACATTGTCCCAAGAAAAAGTTTCGTAACAGTAGAGCATGGAAGTAGTTCAAAAAGGTGAATTATTTTCCACTGTGTATGCACTAAATGCATGCGAATTCCAACAGATGAGACAAATGCTTTCTCAGGAGGGACACGTATTGACATCTTTGGACAGTAGCAGCAGCCTTTGAATTTTCACTTCAACTACCGCTTAGAAACGACACTGTCAGAAAGGAAACACCTACTGTGCGCCTTCACTTGCCTTCTGATCCCTTATTAGTTAACCCTGAAGTGTATATGTATACAGCCTTAATCCCCAAGTGAGTATCTGGACCAGGGGAAATCTGGAATTAATTGCGAAGTATTTTGGTTACTAATGCAGCTGTTACAAGTGTTTGATTTGGCAAGCGAACAGAAAAGGCACTGCATACCAATTTCGTGAGCCACTGTAAAAGCTGCATGGAGGCCGTCATCTTCAATCACTGCACAGCTGCGCTCAGGAGAGCATATGGTCCCAACGTCTGCCATTCCCAGAGTATCACATGAATGATGCCCACATAAATCCTGCCCAGGAAGGAAAAAAAAAAAAAGGCATTAAAATAAATTTTTACACCCATAGGTTACAACATGTTAAAGTCACCAGCCCTCTGCAAACAGCAGAACCTGGACAAAAACATCAATATAAGCTTCCATCTACAGATGTCAATGCAGTTTAAAAGCACAATGACCCAATCCCACCCCTGGTAAAGTCAGTGGGAGTATTTTCATTGACTTTAACAGGATTTGGATACGTTCTGTAATTAATTATTGTTAGTTAAATTCGTATTTCTGCTATGCATACAGAAGTTCAGACTTGCATTGAGTTAGGTACTCAAAATACATGCCGTAGAAGCATTTCTTCATTGACAATAAAAATAGAATATTCTCTTTATTTACAGAAGGTGAACCAAGGCACAGAGAGAAAGCTTCAGATTCCTGATCAGTTCTTGAACCAGAGATCACCTTTCTTTTCCAAAGGCAAGTCTTATACTTGTGCTTAAAGAAATTAGAGTGTTATATATTAAATCTCATGTCACATCTGACAAGTAGTACAATGATTAATAATGTATTACCCAATATACCAAGTATTTAAGCAATTCTTAGAGGTTGCTTAAAGAGCCAGTGATATGACACAGTATATAATCCTTTGATTCCTAGTCTTACTAGCGCAACAACTCGATCACGTTTCCTACTTGCAGATATGGGGTGTCTCCAAAATTCATGCAGGTAGCATTAAGTTTTTTCTTTCCATTCCGGGATGATAATGATAATGATAATGATAACAATGAAGGCAGCTTTGGTCAGACACAGTGTTTTAATCATCAGCAGTAACTTTTCAGTGCTTCTGCTGAAGCAGACGGAAGAATACTAGTCTGAATGTACATATATATGCTTTTTTTGATTGAGAAGGAAAAGTGGGTACCATGCTATTTGGAACAGTTCAACATTTCATTGTGGCTGAATGAAATTGTCATTTTCAAGGCATGACAGTATTATCAAATGTTATTATCAAAATGATCAGAGTACTTTTTTTCCCTTCATTTTTAAGACTCTCTTCCTCCCTTCAGATGTCCTTTTAGAATGACTTTCTTTTATGAAGCCTTTCATAATTAATCCCTCTGAATAACAGATATCCTGTATGAGGCTTCAGGTCAACAATGTTCACAGATTATGATAGTTTCAAATTTAGGCAAACTTGAAAATGCACAAGATTAAAATCCCACTGAAGTCAAAGGGAAACACACTGAATTCACAGATACTGTGACAGAGCATCTCTCTAACAAAAAAAGTGTATTTGTTTTTCCCCAAGATGAAATAAAGAAATTTTCAAGCTAAAATTACATAGCAATATTACATATATGGAGCAAGAATTCTGGGATCAGTTCTGGCTTCCAGGTGTCTGGGAACTCTTTTTGGTAAGTGCACTCTTGGTGCTACTTAATGTCAAGACTTAAATACCGCAGTACCAATGAACAAAACAGCCTCACAAGGAGAGAAGGAACAAAGTTCAAAAGTATTTCAATTCCCAAATTTTCACAGGTATAATCCATGGTTTAAGAAAACCTTCCATTCTGTAGCAATGCAGAAAACATGCAGGCAATTTTCTCTCTAACCCCACTGGCTCCCACCCTTGACATCCAATTAGCTCCCCAGACTTTGCTTCTGGCTCTGCATGGGTTACAGGAAGGTACAGAATAAGGATGTCCATTTTCAAGTACTTTAACAGAAATGCAATTTTTTTTCCAGTTTTATTTAGGCAAATAAACTCCATCTCAGCTTCAGCATCTCTGGACCAATGCTGCAAGAGGCCCTAAGTGAGGTCATCTTATAGTGTCAAACATCTGGGGCATATTCAACAAGGGAGATACAATCCTTAAACTCCTATTGCTTTTGCTTGGGTTCATATCCATTTATCCCTTTATGTACCACTTCTGAATCTGGCCCTTTCAGTCTAAGGGTACATTTTACATAGAGTAAACTCTATGTAAATGTAAGTGGTTTACCTACAGCAGTATAAGTAATGAAACTCAGAAAAAATGCATGTGCATAGTACCAATAAAAATACCTTTTCATGGTGATATAATCGGTCTAAATAAATGAGTGTAAGCTGTATAGGAAGTAAGATACCTTTATACTAGTGCAATTTGAACTGAATCCACACAAGCAGTTGAACCGAAATTCTTACACAAGTACCAAAAAGCACATAAATCAGACAGCAAGCAGCTTACTGGAGGAGGTGTAAATTACTCTCAGGTTGACAGTGCCAATACTAGTATAAAATGCATAAATTCAGGTCTTGTCTCTGCATGCAGATTCTGTATCATTTGGCCTTTTCTTGTATTTGGGTGTCATTATTACATAGATACTTACATCAGTACTGGTCCCAATGTGGTCACAATAATATCAGCACAGAGATGTCTTATGCCAGTGCATGATTTATTTCCATTTGCATACAAGAAGCAGCTATGCCAGTGATACGGCTATGAAGCTACACTAGCAGATGCAACCAGACCTCACAATGATTCTCCGGACTTGATGACACAAGTATAACTAAAAGAATACAATCTTTCTAAGCAGGCAATCTCATAAACTTCCTTAGAGTTACTTCTGATGGGATGTGTGGAGTATGGAAAATTATGACAGGGATGTTAACCGTAAGCAGCCCTTCTGACTTTTGGCTGGTTAGTAATCCCACCGCCAGAATTTCGAAAGCTATGTGCAGGATTGCGTTACGCCACCTTCGTTAGACATTAAAAAAATAGCTATGTACATATGCAAGCACTAACGGACACAGCAATGCTTGATTACTTTTCATATGTTACGTGTTACTAACATCGCACCACACTGCATGCCTGGGTTTTCCTCACAAATCCAGTCACTTCATCAAACAGCTGTTCTGCCATTTCCATCGTTTCCTGGAGTATGACACATATCCACACATCTCGGCATCCCACTGGTAACTTCCAAGGCAGTGCTCATTTGCATAACAGTTGTCTAGACGAAACAAAGCAGGCTTTACGCTTTCTTTGTGAAATAACTTAACTTCAGGTCTGATAAAATGAATTTCTTGAAGGGCTCTATTAGTTAAAGGTTGCTCCTAGGAAATCCCACAGCAATAAGTGATTCTGAAAATTGCTTATTTGTAAAATTACCTAGCTCCTCCACCACCCCACGGACAGCTGGAAAACAGCTGTCCTCAGCTGGTGTGGGACCAACGAACCCCATAAAGGAGAAGAGAGGAGAGCGACCGCCCTGCGGTCAGAAAGCGGTGGACAGGGATAGAGTAAAGCCCCATTCCCTTCAGCCAGCTCCCTGACCACATCCGCGCTGCCTCCCCAGCAGTCTGAGCAAGGCAGCGTGGGGAGCCCTGCCGCCGCCTACCGAATCCCAGCTGGGCAGCGGTGGACGAGGCTTGTAAAGGATCTTGGAAACAAGGACAGGAAATATTTTCTGGCGTTAGCTTCTTCGTATGAAGCTGTTATTGGGGAGGGATGTCTACGGGTTGCCCATCTGCTGCTGGAGCAGGGCATGCCTTCGCTACGCTTTGAACAGAGAGCATGTGCTGAGCCTCCTGGTTTTCGTTGCAGACTTCAGTCCTCAGTGACTGCATGAGAATGCTTTTTTCAAGCTAATGCTGACATTGTCAATAATCACGTAGGTAGATTACTGAAGACTCAGCTCCATTATGTTCTCAACTCATAGTCTCGTTTATTTTTCATTTCTCTTGCCTCTGCATGATTTGAATTTTAATATATTTCTATTCATAGCAACACATAGTATACACAATACACATAATTGAAGCCTATCAAGTGGCATCTCTGATATTCTGAAAAGTTTGCTATCAGGTCAAATCACCATTCCCTAGCTACACAGTCCTTCCCAACAGCGTGATTTCGAGCGACGTTATGGAAAATCATGCCTGTTTACACTTCCACTGATTTAAATCTTTATGGCAAAATTTCTTTCGACTTAAACCTCCTGTGGCTGTACTGGCCATGGATCATTTGTTACCAGCATCACTAGCCATATTTTAAGTTTTCCTGGGCAGTCTTGGAAAGCAGTCTCAGACTTTTATGAAGTAAAGTTTCTGGGAGTACATTAAAAGTTTTTATTCCCCTTGAAATTTTTTTTTTTTTTCTTAAAAACAGGCCCTGATGTAATGATGCAATCTAAAAAATCTGTGTGGGTCTCCTCAACTTTTCACACTCCTGCTAAAGCACTAAGAAAGCATGGACTCACATGATACTTAAAATCAGTTTCCAATGACTATTTTGCTCCAGTGTGTGGCTTCTATTTAAAAAGTTAATCGCTTAGTCAGATCTGTATACTCATGTAATTGCCTCCAAATAGCGGCAGAGGCTTCGAAGAATAAGTGTTTCTTGATATTTCTAAAGAAGGAATGCAGAGTCTGGCCCTTGATCTGCATTACAGTAGTTTCAAAACAGAAGAATGGCTAGGAAATGCATTTGCTACACAGGAGACAATAGATGTTAAGATTTAAGCTTTGGCAAAGGAATGACTTAGGAAAACTGAGCTGTACATCATAAGACTAGTAGTTAATTAGACAGCCTATTAAAGGCCAAGTTTTCTTGGCATTTGTAAGTACATCAAGAGGACCTGGCTGTTTGCCATGTATACGTGGCATTGTTGTGAATGAAGATAACTGCCGCGGCACCCTGCTGGAGCAGTTCATTTATTTTACCTGAAATTCTTTGATTTATGCAGTAGACTTAAAAACAAGAATAAACTGTTTAGTGAAACCTGATATTAGGCCAGAGCCCGTGGACCGGATCCAAAACAGGATTTAAGTGCCAACACGGACAGTTTGGTGGAATGTAAGGGCAGAAGAACAAAACTGGCTCAAATGTCCTCTGGTTTTTGAGTTATCATAGGGCTTGCAGCTCATGACCTTATGGACCCCAAAGTGCTACAGTTTTACAGTCCTGAGCAGCTTAGCACTTAGCTTATACTAAAGCTTGATTGGAGTTGAGATACTTAATGTTTCTCCATCTTTGCCCCTAAGG